CCCCAAAACCCCAAAACCCCAAAACCCCATATCAGTGAATATTCAAATGATTTGATTGTAAAGTTATGAAATTAAGATTAATTAGTATTATTGCTGTCAAACTCTGCCAAAATGAGAGTAAATGAGAGATCTGATTGCGAAATAATCTTTAGATATTAAACCCTCAAGTCTTATCTGGCCGCTCTAATGATCAAAGTATATGTATACCTTATCTTGGTAATTGAGGCATTTATCAACAATCACAGTGGGAATATTCTATGTTTCCAAGTAGTGCTAGAGATGACTTAGTTTGTAATCCTTGCTTCTAAAGAACAAGTTCTTCTTTGCAAATTGATCTCTGGCCTTGTCATTCTCAGTAATGAGTGGGATTTCCTTCAGTGTATCAAATGTGCTATTAGTTGCACTGTTTGGATCTTATACAGTTAACTCAACTGCTGCCTTTATTCTTGATATTTCATATCTTTGATGCACTCTTTGTATAGGCAGGGATTTGTAGAGTTTGTCATCAATAAATACTTATTTGACTGCAGCGTTAGTTTGAAACTATATCACATTTGGTTGATAGCTATTCTGAGTATTCAAATCTTTGTGTGCGTAGTGCAGTTAAGTTTGGAATGAATTGTAAGTGATGAACTCATGAAGCTTGTCCATCTTCTTTCTCGAGCTATTAATAACGATCAGCTACTTAGGCTGAATTTATCTAAGCATCAGTTCAAAAGATGTCTTATCGATTCTTGCTTCGAAGGGAATGTAAGAAATCTTGCACTTTATTTGAAACTGAGTTTCCTGGGTATTATACAGGAAGTTTTTGCCATACCTCTTTTAAAGGCTATACTTCATTAAGACATAAAATAGATTCGTACTCTTTAAATCTATTGTAGATCTTGATGTTCTTGCCTTCATTTAGAACATTGTTAAAAGCTTGCTAGACCTCTGCCACTTCCTCATTCATCTCAATATCATTAATTTCCTCAATGTTCTCCTCTCCGTAAAAAGTCAATGGCTTCTAGTTGTCAATCTGATTCAAACTGAATATTGGGTAAGGTCCTGGTTAAAAATTCTTCTGGTCTATATTTGATTTAAATATAATATAACTTACATTGCTTCTCATAGAATTTGTTCATAAAATTTTCTCTTGACTACAATAGCTGATTCTAGGCAAAGGTTATATTTTGCATATCTGTCATTTGCTACTGTTCAATCTGTGAAATAAAAGCGCTGGCACTATTTGTCACATTAAGACTTAGAGAGTTATTTTCGTTTCCAAATTAGAACTAAGGTGCAGCAGCCACATTACTTCCGATAGAATCAGTCATGTTGAACATTAGCTGCTGCTATTGCTATTAATCTCCAACTGTGCTATCACTTAATGCTCCTAGAATGTTTGATCTTTGGAGATGAATTTCCTTTTCCCCTGAAATTATTCTTTACCCTAAAGATCCCCTGTATAGATTGGGGGTTGACTTCTACAAGAAGAGTATCTCATTCTTTGGATGATCACTAAAGTCTTAAAGCATTTATCTTGAGAAACCTTGTTCGAATGAAGCTAAAGATGTCACTATTACTCTAGGTTTATCTTCTAGTTATCTATATTCACCAATTGAGAATATTTCAGCCACATAGACAAAGTTTATAGGATTCTCATCAATATCTTAGAAGACCTTATTGTCTTAGAAATTCATCCACCCGAGATGACTTCTACCGACTCCCAATGTGTCTCTACTCATGTTTTCTATGTATATCACAGGAGAATCGACTTATTGGGATTGCTGATTCTTATACTGAGCTTGAAGTTTTGTGTTAGATTGGAACATGTTCTCGAGTGTGATTAAGCACTGAAGAATACGATTTTTATCAGAAAGTGGAATCAGTATTGATCCTTGATGATCTACAAGCACCTTTTCAAGTTTAAGTCTAAGTTTTTCCTGACTGAGGTATTGGTAAATCTTGGAAGCTTGCCCTTTTTAGTTTGACTTGATAGATTTAGGAGTCAAGTAAAGATTTGATATCAGGATGTTGGCATTCTTAAAATCATCAAACTTCATTGGCACTGTAATGTTAAGGGGTTTATTGTTCAATTCAACTGCGTAAATAATCACCTGCTTGTTATACTCTATCTTCCAGCATGCGCCTCCTATTGAGTTGCCACTTGGCAATGCACTTAAAATCAACTCAGTTTCTCTTACTCTGATCTTTCTGTTTTCATTGTAGGAAACCTACTCTATTCTTTCGAAGGCTCTTTCAACATCTTAGAGGCTGAAGTACTCAAAATTCCCGCACTCCTTCTTCTGAATAAAGAACTCATACATAGTCAGCGCACCCATTTTAGCAGTGGGAGATGTACCCATCACTTTAATACCATTTGTGTCCAGTAAGCCTTGGGACTAAAGATAAGGCAGAGCACCTACATGAATAAGAGAAGCATGTGATAGGAATATGAAATCGACCTTGTATACAAGCAAGGCATCGTGAATTATCTGTAATTGCTCTTGAGTATAGCTTTCATCAGAGCCACAGTCGAGTAGAATAGTAAGGTCACCAACTTTAAGAAGATTAGCATTGCACAAATGCTGGTTTTTGTTGAGGATGTTGATAAATTGAATGTCTGCCTCTAGATTCGATAAATAGCTAGAAGATGAATTAGATAGCATAGAATGATGCTGCATTTCATTTATCATTAAATCTGACATTTTATATCTTAAGCTTATTTCTTTAAATTATAATCAGTCAATATTTTACAGATATCTATTAAATTGATAGCATGGGGTTTTGGGGTTTTGGGG